ATATTGTTCCAAAAGAAATGAATTAAAAAGAATGTAGTAATGACACATAAATTACTCCATTAATACACAGTGAAAGAGTTAATTCAGTACCACCATTGTAGCCATTTCCATCGTGAGAATTACTGCGTTACGGTTTGAACGGTGTAGGTGAAAGTAGAGAGTAACAGTGACCCTCAGATTATCACAAGGCGCACGACTTGTTCGTCCTGTCTCTTGATAACACAGACTGATTTAGTAATTACGTCGTTTATTAACCGCCAAAAAATGCGGAAGTTCTCAATACGAATGTATTTTATTGTATGTATGTTACGCGATAACTGTGGCATTTGTGAACCGTTTTGATGATTCTTTTTTGTTGGAAAGAAGCCACTTCAGTATTTGTCTCATTTACTTGAAGAAAATATTCCAGCTGTAAGTTTCGCGCACTTTCCGGTAACCGATTTCAATAAGACGAAGACCACGAACTGTTGAGGTCGTTTTTTTTTATAAAAAGTTACAATTATTTCAGTGGAAACAGTACCTGATCTCCATGAAGTCGGTGTGATCCAACTGCGTGCGCAGCAGGTACTGCCCGCAGAGTCCCGAGCCGCAATCCCATCGTCGTAGCTCGACGCAAGACACTCGCTCGCTCACCAGTGATTGCAGTGTCGCCACGGAGGCATTGTACTCATCTTCTGTTAGCCCTCGCCCGTCTATAGCATAGCAACGAAGAACCCTTAGCGCTCAGTTATACGAGGCGAAAATTTTCGCGGGGCCGTTTTTACTTATTACCGCGCTTTCACGATCATTACTGGCGAATCTAAATTCTATTTACGAGGCAACAACATTTAATTTCCTCGGTATAATGCAACGCGCGGACGCCGTGTAGACCAAAGACGAGCCAGTCTCGCTCGCGCGCCCAGGACTCTCATTTAAGTTAAAACGTAAAAGTTTAATAAATAGAGCGTATTTTACCATGACAGCTGGATGCACGCGGTCACACGGTCCGCGCGGCAGAGCGCGTTTTCTATTCTTGTATAACAAGACAACGGTGGTAGACCAATGGCAGAATGGTTTCTTCTTAATTGTGAAGACGACTATCCGAGTCCCTGTAGCCTGCCTCGTTCTCCGGCCGACATATAAGTAATACTCGACCAAGTTTAAAGACGTATGACGCGAATGTAGCTTCATACTTGATATTGTCTTTTAAATTTGGTCGAGTATTAGTTATTTGATAGTAATGCTCTGGCCACTCAGAGGCGGCCGCGGAACCGTTCAGGGCGCGGGAATTTTTATAATGTACGAATTCATATGAACCCTGCCACACTGAACCGCGCGACAGACGCGCGGCCGCCGCGCCTTGCAGTAAATTTATGGAATGTACAAATTTACGACACAACTCGACATTCATTTTTCGAAATTCGAAATTTAAAAAAATGAAATCTAATACGATCGTCACTTATGGGATGGGATCGCTGGTCATCACAACTTCTACCTCCGGCAAACTCGCGTCAAAGCTCAATGCAAAACAAAGCAGTTTCGAATTGACGATGTACTAAGTAAATTATATTATAATATTTTCGTTTTATTAAAACTATTTAATCATATCGACTTCTTAGGTTTTCGCGATTGTTACACATAGGAAATGAAACTATTTTTCCGGATTTAAATCGCGTCGAAACGTCGGTTTGTTTGAAAAAACAAATATACGCGATTTAAATTCGGAAAAATAGTTACTATTTAATCAGTTACTCCTTGCATAAATCCAAAAAGTTATAGATACGACTCGCATTAGATTATATTTTTTTCGATAACGAATATTGAGATTTGATCTCACTATTGTAATCTGTCAAAACGGCCATCATAGCGTGCCGGTACTGTAAAGTATTTAAATACGTAAGTACGTGCCTATAGAAATACAACTACAATATTATTTTTTGGAACAATAATTTGAAGCAAACACTTAATAGGGATTAATAATTTGTCACCAATGTACTTAAATATCAATAAATAATACCCATATTCAAATATAAGCAGTTAAGAGAAGTCACGAGATTTGTAGAAGGGTGAATGTCCACGTTATTCTTTAGTTTAACTAAATTAAGTACCTCAATTCCGATCACTGCAGATTGCACAATTTTCTTTTAAAACAGTTCTATAATTACTCAATTCATAATTACGGTCACTTCAAGTTGATTAATTATGTAAATGACAGATCGATTTAAGTGTTATCAACAGTGATCAGGTCGGAGGAAGTTAATTCAGCTAAACTAAAGAATAACGTGGACCATTCCATTCTAAAAATCCCGGGACTTCTCGGAACTGATTATATTTGAATATGCGTATTATTTATTGAAAATTGAATATATTGACAACAAATCATTATACGCTATTAAGTATTAGCTACAAATTATTGTCATAATAAGAATATTGTACTTGTGTCTCTGTAGGTACTTGCGTATTTAAATATTTTAGCCAATTAAAAAATTAACATGAGACAATGTATACTTTGCACTGTTTGGAAAATAAACATCAAAAAAAGAAATTTTTTACGCATTGATGACGAATTGGGTATATCCACACTAAGAAAGCGTTATACTTTCACTGGTTATCAATTATCATTGAAGTTAAGATAACTACGCGTATTATCTAACAATGGAACAGATACGCAAAATCTCTTTATAATGATTTCATCAGTTATCTGATATAATAATATAAAGATAGTAGGACTTGTGTCTATAGGAACTTTTAACATAAGTAAGCACCAATTATGCATATTTTAATACTTATTGAAACTCCCGTTCATTTTGCTTTTATAAAATTTTACTAAATTGGCTCTACTGAGATCAAACTTAAAAACTATAACGTAAGCTCCCATATTGTTTAGCTACTAAGTCCACCGGGGTAGTTTAAAAATGAACAAAATTGAATCTCTGTGTCTGTTATCAGACGAAATCATTCATAAAGCATTTCTATTATGCTATGTTCATGACTGTAACTGGGTGCGGTGATAAAGTTCTCAGAATTTGCATAAATATTTATCAGTTTATCGATGTTGTTTTTGTTTGGCATTGTTGTTTTGTGAAAAAGTCATTTATAAATGCAGCGACGTTGAGCCGACAGACGCTGGTTCAAGACCAGTTTTTCTTAGTGTTTGTTGGATCTTTGTGTTAATAATAATATGGCCGTCTACTAACTGACACGCGGCTAAGTGACAAATGGTCAAATAAACGTTTTAAATAGCATGAAATAGAGCATAAAATTCTGTTTTAAAAACAGTTAAAATTAGTTAACGTGTTCGACTTAACGGAAGTTACGTAGTTATCTCAAAAAAATAATTTGTCACTTAGGTAGCGAACGGCAGAATAGCAACTAATGAAATATTTTCAGAAAAAAAAGAAGATGAATATATCATCATATCATATCATGTTTGTATTCGTATCATATCATTCGACGACCTTGGTGGCCCAATGATTTGCACTGTATTGGATATGGAGTTCCCGGGTTCGATTCCCGGTAGAACCAATTTGGGAAATTAACTTTCTCTACTGCCATTTAAAGATTTTGAAGGGTAGGGTGCTGGTGAAATTACAGGCACATGGGACTTTTCAATTTATATCTCAGGGCGTAGAGGCAGTGCACCACAGGTTTTTGCGATTTAAAGCTCTGAGTGGCACTGCGTCTATTATAGACAGGCGTGTGCTTACCATCAGGTGCACGACTTATTCGTCTCATTACTAAGTATCATAAAAAAAAGAGTTCTAATTCAAGGTCTCTAATTAGTGTATAGTAAAAGTGTCTCTTTACCATCAAAAAGTTAATTTAGTAGTCAATTTACTAGACTCAATATAATAACTACTTCCACATGACAGATCATCATCTCGGACAGCATCGTAAATACAACAGCATTTAATTTTTTTATACACCCCACTTCGAGATAAGTTAATGGGTGTGTTCATGCACATTTATTACTATAATTACCTTCCCCATGTCCAATGTCATAGATTATTTCTCCGTTGCCAGCTTCCAGTCTTTCCAGTAGGTGTTTGCGTAGTAAATCATATTCATCTGTTGTGGGGCTTACTAAAATTGTCTGGAAATAAAATTAAAAATATATAAATAAAATTCGAATCCGGGTTTGCACTTCTCAGTTTCTCGAAATTTATGTGCAAAATTTAATTTCAAGTTTACTATGAGCTTTACGGTGGAAAAAAAATATCGTGTAGAAACCTAAACAGAGCATGTTTTAGGTTTTAACGACCGTTTTAAAATATTAACATCGTGTTTTAAAATTCAATTGTGGTTTTAATTGAGTTTAAGTTTTAAAATTAAAACATGCTCACGTGAAAAAGACGGTTCCATCTGATCCCCTAAAACCGATCCGTTTTATTTAAATTATTTTCTATTCCTATCAAATCCCCAATGCAGTGGACCAAGATAAATGTTAATATTGTATTCCCACCTGATACCCTGGTACTTCCAGGTTTATTTTTGGTAGGTACTGTGGTATGGTCAACAAGAAAACGTATCTATCTTATCAAGAAAATGTATATCATGATATGGAATAATCATAACATTAAACTAGATTTTAAATTTGCTCAAGACTGATTTATGTTACTACTGATTTGCAATATGCCAATACTAATGACCTCTCACAAAAAAAATATTGTGATAATTGTAACATTTGACCATAATTCCTCAATAAATGAATATTTGATTTCAAAACTTCTTTCTCTCTTGAGTATACTTATCTTACAAATACAATGATCCATTACATATAATCAGTTGCAATTTTAAATTAGCGGTGGGTCAGTTTTGGGGATCAGATGGGAATAAATCGTGAATTTTTTTTCGAAATGTCGGTTACGCCTTTATATAAAACATCGAATATAGACTAACTATTATATTTCAAATTAAATAAAACAGTGTGGGTTATTCAAATACGATGTAATTATGGTCAATGATGTTATACAATGTGTTGATTTGCATTTCCGCCATATTTACGGATATCATTCTATATCCGAAACTGAACCCAAATCACTAAAAAAAAATCGAAAATAAATTTTCGTGCATTCCTATTTTTTATTTCATTGCGGTAAACAAATTTGATCCAAAAGTCATTGACTTGCGCGGCACTTGCAAACATTTAGAACAATGACCTTGAATGCACAGAAAGAAACGCAGTTTAGATCTATTTGGTGGTGGGGTACGGGTAGCGACGGGGAGTATCGTATCGAGCGCGCGATTGGCAGATCAGTCGACCTTGCTTCCCGTACTGTGTCTACGTCACGCAGACGGGATGTCATACATTCTAGTCTGTCACGAAATGATACGTGGTTCGGTATGTAAACAAGAGTTAGTAGTGCAAAAAACAAGCGCTACAAGGTTCACCAGAACCTGTACGCGGAGGTTTAGGAGGGGGAGAGGAGGAGTGTTGAAGTTTCTGCTTTCAAAGTTGTGGAGTCTAATGTTGATACGAAACTCACGTGCGAACCTCTGCATAACTGGCGGTGGCTCCAGTACGCAGCTAGCCACCCGCTTACGTACTTCTAGCAATAGTTTCATGTAACCTAAAGTTGGTAAGTACCAAATCTAAGTTACAAAAAACTTTTTTCAGTTAACTTTTCTAATTAATGTAAATAAATAGTAAATTATAACAATACTAGTACATAACCGTAATTTAAAAAATGGATGAATGAGCGATCGAGAAAGATTACGTATCGCTCGGTGAAGCGGGTGGCGGGGTCACTGCCCTTGCGTGGTGCATATGACTTGAGACAATTTTGATACACTTTACTAGATACAATTAGCCAGAATATTGAACAGGATATATTTGTTTATATTTTTATATGATTTAGCATTATTTATATTATTAATTTCTTAAATATAGCGAGAATGCAAATCAACACACTGTATATCATTGCTTATGGTACAGTTTTCAGTGATCAAAAATCACAGGTCAGCAGACTTAAGCGCATAAGTACAAGTAAAATAAACAAAGTTTGTTGTTCCGTGGTCTTTATAGTGTCGGAGGATGTATGAATAGAATTTATGTTTAAATAAATAAATTTGACTTACGTGCTTTAATCTGCCAACCAGACATATGAGTTCAGCTTATTTATAATTTTAGTAAACAGTAATTATCTTTTTGATTTAATAATTCATTTATTTATTCAATATGATACAATCACAGATACACAAGTCATATTTATGGAAACCACTCACAATTGTACACGACTTATGCATTGAAAATTAAATAATTATATACACAGCTGACAAAACCGCACTAAAGAATAATAATAAAATACGAAAATGTTAAAAAATCAATATGATTTTCAAATAATGATCACAAAAATAAAAAGAAATTTGTAAATGCTGCAGACAACTTACAAATTGTTTAAGGGCCATTCCAAAGTGACAGGTGGGACATTTTGACTCCTTTTTTTCTAGAACTATACGTAATTTCTCCCTAACCATTGGTTAATTAGACTTAAAATGAATATATCATGAAGCCAGATATGCAATACAACTGCAACTATTTATTTACATAAATTTATGACATTCAACTTCAATTTCAACTTTTGTATCTATGGCTCCGTCGTTTTGCGCGACGATTTCGCCAACGTCAGGGTTGAAAGACATCGTACCACCTTGTGCAGGTGCTGACCGGGCACGGCTGCTTCGGTCACTACCTGCACAACGTGGCGAGGAGTGAACCGGCGTCCACGTCGTGCCACGAGTGCGGCGCTGCGGATGACACCGCGCAGCATACCCTAGAGGTGGATACCCTAGCCGGTGGGGTGAGCAGCGCCGCACTCTGACGGGGACTGTAGGGCAGGACCTCTCGCTACCGAGCGTGGTTTTATTTTTTTTTTTTATTTATTTATTATTCAAAATTACAACGTGTTACTTATTACAAAAAGTCGCCAAACTGCTGTGCAGTTTGTTGGCGACATGTGCACTCTTACTTAATAATACCTACTTTACTATATTTAACATTATACAATTGAACCACTAACTAACATGGTTGCCGCCATGCTCGATAGCGAGGACTCCTGGGAGGCAGTGGCCTCCTTTTGTGCAGAGGTTATGTCGCAAAAGGAGGCCGCGGAGTGGGTGCGCATCCGCCGCGTCCTCGCGTACGCAGACGCGGCAGACGCACGGCCTCACTCGCCTGGGGGGCGGGTCGGAGGACAACCGACTCGCCCCTCCGTTGGTGCGGGAGCCCTGGCGTCAGCTAGGGCGGCCGGGCGGCGTCGTGGTGAAAGTTCACTGATCCCACGGCACCGACTCAACCGGCGAGAGGGAAACCGGGGGGGGGGGGGGGGGGGTTGGTGGGGTAGGCCCTCCAGAGTCCCCACATAACTATGGAGGATGGAAAAAGAAAGAAAATTATACGAAAGATAACGGGAGAATACGGGAAGAATGGAGAATACTAAAAAAATTAAGACTGTTCAGAAATGGGAATTTTTCCCCGACTCATCATTAGTTGGGACAGAAAATTATGAAATGAATGTGGTCGAGCGGAGGCTATTCGGAGCTGGTTACAGATTTATGTTATTAAGTTTTAGAAATTTGTATAAAGTGAATACTAGTGGAGAGTGTACGTTGGCTAGGAAATAGTTCATATTTATTGGGCGAGGAATATTTTCGGGAAGCAAATCGTAAAATCGGAAGCTAGCGTAAAGAGGGCAGTTAAAAAATAAGTGTTCTAGAGTGCCTTCCTCTAGTCCACATTTGCAGAGGGAGTGATCACGTACTTTAATTTTGGCTAGGAAAACCGGGGAGCAAACGTGACCCAGTCTCAGCCGGAAAATCATTGATGAATAAGGTTTAGGTATGTGTTTATAGCGGAAGAACAAAGGTTTGCATGGTATATTTGGTTGAAGACAGCCAAAGTGTTTACCTTTTAGTAGGAGCGATTTTTGGAAAGTTTCGTCCCAGGTCCTGAACAATTTTGGTTTAGCCGAACAACGTAGATCTCGGGAGAAGCAGCCTAAGTGGTCCGGCAAGCAGGATGAGATAGCATCCTTTGCAAACCTATCAGCAGTTTCATTGCCGCCTATCCCTTTGTGTGCAGGGATCCAGGCTAAGGCTACGTCGATATTAGATGAATGACAGTCAAATAATAGTTCTTTAATTTGAAGGGTGATATGGAAGTTATTTCTTAGCTACGGCAATCTGAGAAAATTATCGTCTTATTTAGTCGGCGTGACTTCACGTACAAGATGGCTTCCAGAACGGCGATAGATTCACCAGAATACACAGTGGAGGTAGGAGAGCATTTAAATCTTAATAGTACACTGTACTTTGGGATCCAGACCGCTGCACCGACATTGCCATCGTCCTGCAATTTTGAGGCGTCAGTAAAGATGGTGAGCCAGTCGTGCCAGTTATTATTTAAGATCTTTGAAAATTCGTAGTTAGCATTGACAGTCCTTACAAACACCAAAGTTGAGGATTACATGTGGCTGAAAGGTTAGCGCTTCAAAAGGGATCTGAAATAGGGGGTTTTTGGGGATTTTCACAATAGAGGAAGGGAGGTTTTTCAAGATATTTAAGCTTTTAATTAAGGGTGGGGCTTCCCTATGGGCCCAATAGGGTGATGAAGCGACACCATCAGACAGGTTTTGTAGTTTTTCTAATAGGGGATGATTCGAATATTGGGGGATGTTAAATAAATATCTGTCGCTCATGAACTGACGCCTGAGGTGTAATGGAGGATCGAGGCACTCGACTGGATTAGTAGGAGTTTGGGTTTATAGAAGATGATTTCATGGCTCCAGAGATGATTCTTAAACATTTAGATTGAATGAGGGTGAGTTTAGTTAGGGCCAATTTGCTACAGGGTTCTAGAATGAAGCTGCCGTAGTCGAAGTGGCTGCGGATTACAGCATTGTATAATATTTTTTGGTTAAATGGGTGAGAGCCCCAGCGAACGCCAGATAGTGATCTCAAAACGTTGACGCCTTTCTCAGCTTTATTACAGATATAGTTCAGATGTTGGACTCCAGACAATTTTGAGTCAAATATGATACCCAAAAACTTAGCACAATTTGAGATAGGGATTGGTTGATCGTTGACTGAAATCTC